TAAGCTTCAACCTCTTGAGGTACCGTTGTGGAAGTGGAAAAGTATTTCCATGAACTTCGTGATGGGTCGGCCTAAGACCCAGGTTAGTAATGACTCTTTTGGGTCATCGTGGACGAATTGTCTAAGTCTGCCCACTTTCTTCCGGTAAAGGTGAGCTTCTCGTCAAAGCAGTTGGTCATACGGTCGTTCGCGAGATCGTGAGTCTTCACGGGGTGCCCGAGAGTATCCTCTGTGTTAGGGACCCGAAGTTCACATCTCGGTTCGGGGAGACGCTGTTGAGAGCTTTTGGAACTCAGTTGAGATTGAGTACAACCTATCACCCTCAGACTGCTGGACAGATTGAGCGGACCCTCCAGATCTTGGAGGACATGTCGAGGGCGTGCACCTTGGAACAGGGCCCCGCATGAGATAGGTACCTGTCATTGGTAGAGTTTTGTGATTGTGTGTTCCTTGCTAGCCTGGGCATGGGACCCTACGAGGCGCTGTTTGGAAGGAGGTGTAGAATTCCTACCTGTTGGTCTGAGATTGGAGATAAAAAGAGTTGTTTGCTTTGGAACTTGTCCGATTTACCATGTGTCGGGTCAGATGATCAGAGAAAAGCTGATGCAGGCGCTGAGTCGTCAGGAGGACTACGTTGATGTTGAGCATCTTTCACTGGATTTCAGTGAGGGTGAGCACGTGTTTGTGAGACTTTCACCTGTCACCGGTGTTGGTCGGGCACTCGGAGTGAGGAAGCTGAGCCCGCAATTTATTGGGCCGTACCAGATTCTTGGTAGAGTAGGGCCTGTTGCCTACCGGCTTGCCTTGCGTCCGAACTTGGCTAACATCCATAACGTGTTTCACGTGTCTCAGCTTCGGAAGTACATAGCAGATCCGTTACACGTGGTGCAACTTGATGATGTGCAGGTTCGGGAGAACCTGGAAACTCCCGTCGGACCACTAAAGATTCTCGATCGTGGCGAGAAGCAGCTGAGGAGCAAGATCATTTCGATGGTCAGAGTACGTTGAACGGGAAGAATTCCTGAAGGGTAACTCTAGAAGCGAAAGGACGAGTTCCTCTGGAAGTATCTCGCGCTTCGGGACAGGTATGTTTTCTGATTTTGAGGACAAAATCCTAAAAAAGTGGGGTGAATGTAAGAACTCGCACCGTTAATTAAGGGATTTAATTAATTAATTATGTGAAATTAGGAAATAATTCCATAATTGACCCTAATAATTATTATGAGGCTTTAATAATTATAATTAGTGAGTAAGAATGCTGAAAGTCGCTTTTCGAAAGAAAAGTGCAGATACCGGTTCTGCTAGTCGGTATAAATGCGTACCGAAAAAGTATCCCGGAAAATTTTAATAAGTGCATGATAATTACTAAAACAATATATAGGACTTGTTAAACGAGTTTCAAGTCCAAATAATGAGAACTGGTGCCAGAATCTGATACTGGCTATGAAAAACGCGTACCGGAAAGGTGCTCAGAAAAATATAAGAAAAATATGATAAATCTTGCAAAATTGAGTAGGTTAAGAATCCTGAGTTTGGGATTAAAATGCTAAGCGTAACAATTAAAGTTAATACTGTGTGTTTAAGTGTGTTTTCACTATAAAATAGCCTTGGGCACAATGCCCTAGGTCATAAACCTTCAGCCTCTACGTGAGTTCTGACCCTTTGAGCGGCTGCCGCCCTTCCTTGCTCTATTCCATTTCCTTTCTTTCATAGAAACCTCTCAAGCTACCATTTTTTACGAGGGATTCTTCACCTCTAAGCCTCTAGACACTTGAGATTAACCTTGGAGGTGTGAGGAAGACCTTATCTTGAGAAGGCAAGCTTCTGTTTTGTTGAGTTTTAAGCTGAGTTTGGGTTTGTTTTTGGGTGAGGCCTTGGTCTTGGCACTATAGGCTTCAAGAAGCCTTCTTTGTGAAGAAAGGACCCTTCTTGGTGTGACATTTTCGTGTACCTTTCTAGTCTGAACCTAGGAGCTTCATTGAGAGCTCCAAGAGCATCAGCCCTTCTGTTTTGGTGCTAAAGGTAAGTGGTTAAACCTTGAACTTGAATTCTTTTGCTTAAAAATTGAACCTTGATGCATGTAAAGGCTTAAAGATGATAACTTAACGTTGGGGTTGGTCAAACACACCTAGAAATGCATGTTTAAGTGTTTGTAATCGGTAAAAATGGACCCTTGGGATTGATATCTCGCGAAATGCAAAATCTGCATTCTGACGCGACATATCCGGATATTTGGTTGTAAATATCTGGATATGTGATATCCCGATATTTGGTTGTAAATATACGGATATCTGATATCCCGATATTTGGTTGGAAATATCCGGATATCAGATATCCCGATATTCAGTTGGAGATATCCCGATATTTTGGTCTGGACAGCAACGAACCTGTTTTAGTAAAAATTCGATATCATGGGCTACAAAGCTCCAAATTGAGTGCCGTCTGGACCTATGTGAAGCTAACACATAGGGCTACAACTCCGTAAATTTTCGTAGCCATTGGATCAGTGGTTTGATCGCAGTGTCTATTATAAGTCGCGTTTTGGTTGCTGGAAATTCTGTTTACCATGGTAAAATATTAGAATATCAATATTGATATAATTGTTGGTCTAAAACAGATTGTGATTGTGCTTTTTGTGGACCTCGAGCTAGTGTGGACCTTGGTTTGGGTTTTTAGCTTGCGAGGTAAGCTTTCATGTCTTCGGTTTAGCCATTGTTGGTTCAACCATGTCCCATGGGGGTATGGTTATATGCATGATGTTGTCTTCATGTACTGTTTTATTGAAATGCTATGGAGATGTTAAGTGCAATTGCTGTATAATATTTATGTGGTGTTTGCCTTAAAGGGAAACCATGGGGTGGCCCTTCGGGGGTGGGTACAGCATGGGCTGGTACTGTGTGGGTAATAGATGTATTCCTGCATTTCTGATCAGTAGAATAGTTATAACCCACATGACATGATTATCTGCTGCATTGCACTATTTTGGAAATTATATTGTTAAATTGCTTTTGAACTTATATTGCACATGTAAGTGAGCTTGGGGTGGAAGATCCTTGAGGACCCCTTGTCTTACTGAGATTTCTGTTAGAGATCTCACCCCACGTTTGGGGCCCTTATTTCAGGTTCAGGTAATGTTGAGACTTCAGGTGGCAAGAGGCCGGAGCTGAGTTAGAATTGCTGTTATTTTATGCTGCCTTGTTGGATGCTGGTTATGCATGCTGCTTATAAGCTTTTAGCTTCAGTTTATGATTTGGATTATCATGTTGAGACGCTATTGATTTGGTGAGCATGGGGATTGTCCATGACACGCAGTCTTGTTTATGTCTTGTTTTAGTTGGAGTTGTAATAATGTATCAGGATGTTGTCCGGACTACTTGATGTAGATCCGTGACTTAGATACTCACTTTATATTTATATATTGAGGTATATTAGTAGATGTCTTATTGCAATATACATACAGACAATATTTTATGAAATTGATTAAGTAATCAACTTGGCTAAGTATAATGATGTCATAATTGAAAATAAAAAGGATATTCCTCATTTTTAATTAAGCGCAACTTAATACGATGATATGTTAACAAACCGGATGCATACAGGGTGTTACACATCATATAGGCATCCCTCAGGTACCAGGGAGAGGGACACTTGGCTTCAGTCGGCATAGTTCACAGTTGGAATTCACCTTTGATGGGAGCCAAATATGGAATATCCACTGTACTGTCAGTTTGTACGTGCACTGCAGGCTATAAACGTACAAACTACTGGCGTTGTATACACACTCTGATTATGTTTTAGTATCTGTTCGGAACTTACTTGATGATTTGATAATGTTTGAAATTATGGATTTAAATTAATATTGTTGCAATATTGGATTTTCTGCCACACTACTGGGATCTTTCTCACCCCTATGGGGCTGCTATTCTTACAAAATGGCAGGAGGACGGAAGAGCATATGAAGACTTGATTATATGGATATTTGCTGTTATGTGCTGCTGTTTGGACTTTGCTGTTGCTATTCATTTGGGATATTTTGAGAAACTTGGATGACTATGGAAACTATGATTTTACTCTCTTTTTTAAGACCTTTTGATCAGCAAGTGTTTTGGAAACAATTTCTAGAAATGTTTTGCGAAAATTATTTCTGAAGTTTTATTAAGTGCTGAACTTCAACCAGCTTTGCGAGCACCTTGCGAGTTCTGTTTCGAGGGGCAAACGACCTCCAATTTGCTATTATTTTATATGCACACGAAGCCCCAGATGTGCTCTTTCTAGATTATATGGAATATTTTTTTGAAACATTGAACTTGATTTTATACGAATTTTACAAGACAGCAACGTCTGTCAGGAAAATAATATTTTCAGCAACTTAAGAAATTTGAAAGAACACTCTGATTTTTTGTAAGGAACTTGATCTAAATTACAGGTTTTAATTAGCAACATCAAAAGTATTTTTTTTACAAGTTAGAATGACGTCAAAAACTCTAATTCTGCTTAGCAAACAAACTCTCTTGGGTGCACACAAGGGAATGTGTTACACTAAATGATATCAGAGCAGTTTTGATTCATGCTTTTTGTCTGCCTTTGATGAACTATTTGTTGTCTATGTCATTTGCTGAATGGTTTGTTGTCTGTGTACGTAGTTTAACTGTGTTGTTTATATCTGATTGTGGGGTTATTTGCTGTTTGAATATAACTGGGAATTATTTGCTAACTGTTGTATGTTAAAATTGCGTTGTTGAACGGTTTGCTGTTTATACTTGTTTGCTGACTTGCCAGCTGTTTGCGATTGAATGCAATTGACCGTTAAATTGTACTGTATCATAAAATGCCGAATTGTTTAAGATATTTCAACTAGATTGTTAGAATTATACAGTGATAGGAACAGATGCATTGTTAACTTACCTGATTTGAACTCGAGTACCTACTTGGGATTGCTGTCATGAATAGCTTGCAGTGAGTCTGATCAGCTCATTTCGTGGAATTGTGAGTGCAGAAACATGGCAGGTACCCGCGGTTCCACTCAGGGAAGAACAAGCAATGTACCTGATGAACTTATTACTACTGTCGGGGGGTTGGCCACTTTTGTCCAGAACATTAGCCAAGAATGGAGAGAATATCGGCAACAGAACCCGAACCAACCCCAAATCCCCGACAATGCTGAGGAAATTGCTCGACGGAGGTTGAAAGACTTCCGCAACTTCCAGCCACCTACATTTGAAGGTGGAGATGATCCTGAAGCTGCAACAAGATGGATGCAGATGATCGAGCACATATTTGAGCGTATGGGATGTCCGGAAGCCCAGAAGACTGACTATGCCTCATACCAGCTGATTGGGGAAGCTTTGACTTGGTGGACCGGTGCGAGGGCTTTGCTTCAAGCTCAAAATGTTGACCTGACTTGGGCTGTGTTCAGACGAGTTTTCCTGGACAAGTATTTTCCGAAGGCTATGAGAAGAATGAAGCTCACTGAACTGCTGTCACTAAAGCAGGATAATGTGACTGTCAATGAATATGCTGCTAAGTTCGGACAACTTATGGAATATGCCAACTTTGACCGGAACATCTATGACGAAGAGTGGCAAGTGGAAAAATATGAAAGTGGACTACATCCAAAGATCTGCAAGCTCATCCTGACTTCTGCAAATCACACACTTCCAGAATTAATCAATCAGAGTCGGCAAATGGAAGGCATTATCAATGAAGTAAAGAATTTGTCTAAACAGCCAGTGCAATCACGAGAAGGAAGTAAAGGTGGTCGGTTATTCATAATGAATAGAGGCAAGGATCCCCAGTTGCAACCACGGACTGGAAACTTCAAGAGGAATAATGCTCCTGGACAATCTTCAGCCGGACAACAGGGTCCTACTACTTGTGTTACTTGTAGAAAGAATCATACTGGTGTCTGCCGGCGCGGGACGAATGTGTGCTATAGGTGTGGACAACTGGGACACTTCTTTTCCGACTGCCCACACAATGCGAATCGGCCTCCTACTCAAGCTCGGACGTTCACTCTTGATGCCAGTAAAGCCCAGAAGTATCCGGATCGGATCTGAGGTAATGTAATCCTGATTGGTTATCATCTTTCTGTTATTTTGATTCTGGAGCATCAAGTTCCTTTTTACGAAACACACTGCTATGAGACTAGGTGTCACCCCGACTCTCTTGTTTTATGTGTTGCGAATTCGTACTCCTACTGGAGGATCGTGTACTGTACCAGAAATCTGTAGGAGTTGCTTTCTACAATTAAAGCATAGTTTTACAACCCTTAAGGAGAAACAATTGTAGGCCAAGTAGTCGAAGCGTGAGTTCTTGGTAAACAAAGTTCTCTCCTTGGGTCACGTAACTTCAGCAGAAGATATTGCTAAGGATGCTAGTTGAGTGGAAGCAGTAATGAATTAGGAACAACCTAAGACCGCCACTGAAATGCGGAGTTTCTTGGGAATGACAGGCTTTTATCGTAGATTCACCCAAAACTTCTCTCCGTTAATACAGTCTTTTACCCGTCTCACTCGGAAGGATATGCCTTTTGAGTGGACTGATGTTTGTGAAGAATGTTTCGTGGAGCTAAAAAGTAGATTGACGAGTGCTCCGGTACTCACCATTCCGGACCCAACTAGAAAGTTGAAGTATACTGTGATGCGTCACATGAAGGACTTGGATGTGTATTGATGCAAAATCGTATGGTATTTTACCATCATAATGGGCTTAGATGGGAGCGGATTTACGTCCCATTAGTAGTATCGAATGATGAAATGAAACAAGACGTTTTGCAAGGGGCCCACAAGGGCGGTTATGTCGTTCATCCTGGATCCACAAAAATGTATCATGACTTGAAGACTTCGTTCTGGTGGCCAGGCATGAAAAGTGATATTGCGGAGTATGTAGCTCGATGCCTTACTTGTCAGAAGGTGAAATATGAACATCAAAAGCCTTCGGGACTTCTTCAACCTCTGGAGATTCCCGAATAGAAGTGGGACAGTATTGCAATGGATTTTGTAGTTGGACTTCCTCGGACAAGGGAAGGATTTGATGCCATCTGGGTAATTGTTGATCGGTTGACGAAATCAGCTCATTTCTTATGTGTTCGGACGACGTATAATACAGAGAAGCTTGCCAGAATTTATCTTCGGGAGATCGTGAAGCTGCATGGAGTTCCTACTAGCATTGTCAGTGATCGTGATCCCAAGTTCACCTCTAAGTTCTGGGAGTCCTTTCAGCGAGCTCTCGGGACCCAACTGAGGTTGAGCACTGCGTATCATCCGCAAACAGATGGTCAGATGGAACGCATTATTCAGGTTCTAGAGGATATGTTGCGGGCATGTATATTAGAGCAAGAAGGCAGTTGGGATAAGTATCTTCCTTTGGTAGAATTTGCATATAACAATAGTTATCACTCCAAGATCTGTATGGCACCGTATGAAGCATTGTACGGGAGGAAGTGTAGATCCCCGTTGTGTTGGGTTGAAGTTGGCGAGCGTAGCATTTTGGGGCCCGATATGATTCAAGAAACGTCTGAGCAGGTACAGAAGATCAAAGAAAATATGCAGCGGGCCCAAGCAAGGCAGAAGAGTTATTATGACAATCGTCATAGGCCCTTATCTTTAGAAGTGGGAGACCACATATTCTTGAGAATCACACCCACATCTGGTCTCGGCAGAAGAATGGGAGTAAAGAAGTTGAGTCCGCGATACTTGGGGCCATATCTTATCTTGGACAGGATTGGAGAATCACCTTATCGGTTGGCGTTGCCGCCTAATTTGTTAGGAATTCATAATGTATTTCACGTGTCGCAGCTGAGGAGATACCTCTCTGATCCATCTCATGTTTTACAGCCGGAAGAAGTGGAGTTAAGAGAAAATTTGACGTATCATGTTCAACCGTTCCAAATTCTTGAGAGATCTGTTAAACAACTCTATTCCAAGGAGATACCATTGGTGAAAGTGCTGTGGAACAACAAAATCAGCATATAAAGCCACTTGGGAACGCGAGGACGACATTCAGAATTGTTATCCAGAACTTTTTAATTAGTAAGTAAGTCTAATTTTGCGGACAAAATTCTATTTTGGTGGGGAGAGTGTAACATCCCACGTAATTAGGAAAAATATATATGTTGCTATGTGGAATAAGGATATTTGTGTTAAATTCGAGTTATGTGCAATACATGCTTTGATTTCGGATTATATGACCACTAGTATGGAATTAATATTGAGTTAGGGAATTAATTGAATTACAATGACGGGAGAGAATTTATTTTTAGGCATGTGAACCACTAGTTGGAAGATGTAGAAATAAATTAATAAAAAACATACAAAAAGATTAAAAGTAGTTAAAATATATGAGAACTTATAATCTTGTGGGCTAGTACCTAAGTAGTAACACCATTGGACTTAAATATTTTTTTAGACTAACTCCTGACATGAGCCATGGCCCAAACCCTTAAGTGGGGAATAAGAAATTAGATTGCATGTTCCTCAATTGGTTCTAAACCTCACCCCCTCATCCACTCAACCATGCGCACCCTAGAGAAAAGAAATTCTAATTGAGGCCCTCAAAAGAAAACAAGTCAGCCTCACTCACCACTCTTGTCATCACATGCGCATAGGGTGTGAGAAGCAAGCTGATTGCTTGTTGTACTATCCAACCTTATTCAGCTCTTGGTCATCCATGCAACCAATGGGTGGAGAGCAACTTTCTTGCATGTTTTTGTATTGGTCAAAAGAAACACACACTCTCACATTATCTCTTCACCTTGTGCGCACATAGGAGGAAGATACAATGAGAATTCTGATCCTTACCTTCCAAATAAAAACGCAGCACCATTCCTCTCCTCCCACTGCTCAAGGCCGTAGGTAACTAACAAGAGAACAAATCAGAATAATATTCCCCCCTTTGCCTCCACAAGCCGTGAGCACCATAGAGAAATAACCAAGGTTCTAAGCACCTCCTCCCTTCACTTAGGCCGTGGGCTGTGTGAGATGTTATACCAAGGAGAACCACTTTATATCTTATCCTCACACTGTTTAAGACCGTGAGTCCATTAGAGTGATAAACCTCAAGAAGAACTACACACTATCCCCTTATCCTAGCAAGAAACCGTGAACTCCATGAGCAAGGAACGTAAATAACTCAACTGATCCTCCTTGTTCACTACTCATCCGAGGTTACTCACACAAGGAGGTATAGTAATTGCCCCTCTTCTTGGTTGAACTGTGGGCTGTGTTGTGGCTTTCCCACTTCTTAAGGTGACAACTTTGATTTGCTCTGAAGGGGGGAGATAAGTGCTACTTTTGGCGAGGTTGTTGAAGGAACGTCAGCATTCCCTGCTAGTGATCCTTGTGTTCTAGTTTGAAGGTTGGCAGCAATCTGCCCTAGATGGGACTCAATGTTCCTGACCATTGCATCATTCCTGGAGACATATTCCTTGACATAATTTTCCAGGGTGTTGATGTGTTGGTCATCTCTGTGGAACGAAACGTAGTTGTTTCTTCTTTGTTCAAACGTTCCACTGCTGCTACCTTGTTGATACTGCTGCTGATTGTTGTTGAATGGTCTCTGGTTAATGGGTGACCTCCATTGGGTGTTATGGTTCTGATCCTTAATGATAGTTCCTGCAGGGCTTGAATGTGTATTTCGTCCTGCTTGTTGATTGTCTCTGGTGAAGTTCCTATTGCCAAAATTTTCTGCACAACACACCAATGATGGGCAGTCTGTTGAGTCATGAAGGTCACCACAGGCTGAGCATGGTTCTGTTTCAGTTGCTGTGAGTTGTAAGACTTCCATCCTTGGTGCTGCTTGGTCAGCTTTCAGGTTCTTCACTTCATTCATGAGTGATGCCAACTGGGCTTCCATGGCTGTTTGTTTATCCAGTTCTAGCATGCCTGGCTTCCTTACTGGGCTCACTCTGTCTATTGGCCATTGGAGACATCTTTCAGCAGTCCCTTCTATGATTTATTATCTTGATTCAAGTGTACCTGTAAAGAAATATCCTCATGCAGCAAAATCTAGGTGAGATTGAGAAGTATAGTCAAGTCCTTTATAGAAAGATTGTAGCACTCCCCAACTCTCTACCCCATGGTTTGGACATTTTCTTATGATGTCCTTGTATCTCTCCCATGCTTCATAGAGATTTTCTCCATAAAACATTCTGAAGTTAGAGATTTCAGCTCTAACATCAGCTTGTCGAGACATTGGGAGAAACCTCTCTATGAACTTGTTAGAGAGTTCTTCCCATGTGTGGATTGATCCAGGGGTGAGATTTTTCATCCATGTTTTAGCTTTTAAACCCAAGGAGTGAGGGAACAACCTCATTCTCATGCTCTCCTCTGTTACACCCTCAACTTTAAAATTATCACAAATATCTTGGAATGTTGTGAGGTGTGTGTAAGGATTTTCTGCAGGGAGTCCATTGAAGACCCCTACTTCCCTAATCATGTGGAACATTATAGGTTTTAGTTCAAAATTTGGTGCTACAGGGGGAAGGATTACTCCCCTATCTGGTCTGTTCCTGAAAGGAGCAGCCAAAGTTCTGAAGTTCTGTTCAGGGGGATCCTCTTCATTGTTATTATTGTGATCAGCCATGTTTTCAGGAAAGCTTTCCCTGAGGTTCCTTCTTCTCCTATGGAGTGTGCGTTCTGGCTCAGGATCAAAGAGAAACTCAGGTACTTCAATGGAGTAGTTAGGGTCTGTTTCAAACTCTTCACTCATAAACCAATAGCACAGGGCATATATATGCACAACAGATTCAGTGATAAGAAAAAAAATATAAAAGTAAAGTCAGATATACAGTATATGTGTTAGAAAAACAATGATAAGAACAACAGTTAGTGTTTCTATCCCCGGCAACGGCGCCAAAAACTTGTTGGGTGGTTTGCTGATGGTGGAAAAAATATAAGTTCTGATAGGCGACGTTCTTCTGTTCTTGCAGAACACAGATTCGTCCCTCAGTTCCAACCCAAGTGCGCAAGTGCACGCATCAAGTAATAAAGGGAGTATTAATGCCCAAATTATCGTTCCCACGAGGATAGAGGGCTAATTATTGTTTTATCATTGTTTA